GGGCGAGGGGGATCTGGCAAGGGGTGATTGTGTGACGTGCAACAGAGGCTTGAATGGCGGCAGCCGGGCGAGGCGCCAAGGACCCAAAACGGCTGCAGGCCGCCAGGCGGCCGGCGACGTGACAGGCTTGCTGGTCGGCGGCGGCCGGGCGCAACCTGACAGAAAGCATAGCCGAAAGAGCCGCTGCCACTCCAGCGCCCTCGCACCTGCCCGGCGCCCTCTGCGACGCACACCACCGCGTGACCCTTGCTCTCAAGCACCTTGATAATGCAGGGGCGGCGTGGAATTGAACAAGTGAGGGCGCGCAGGGGCAGTGCAGCAAGCTGCCAGCGTGGGACGGTGGCACCAGGCGTCGAGCGCCCCAAATCCCAACGGTCAATCCCTGCATCCTGGAACAGGCGAGATGTGGTGGGCGGAGCGGCAGCAGCCCAAAAGGCACGGTGTCTTTGGAGTGAGGGGAAGAAAACTCACCTGCTCCAGGTATGCCATCAGCCCTGTGGGCCCGTCCAGCTTGAACTGCACCTCCGGGATCAGCACCGCGTCAACCACACCTGTTTTTTGGGGGAGGAGAATGATACTAATGCGGGCGTTGTGGTTTGCAAACGGCGTGGCCCAAGCAGTCCCACGCGCTTGCGCAGGTGGGCGCGCTCTCCCTGGAACGCACGCCTGGCGAATAAGTAATCAGTCGCAGTCAGCCGCTAATGAGGTGCCAATTAATTGCAAATGTTGAGCTGTCCGCGTCTGGCGGCCGCTCACACTGCCGCGGCCCCCACCTGATGCCATGGAGGCCTGCACCGCGATGAACCCCGACTGGCGCCCCATCAGCTTCACCAGGCCGATGCCGTTGCGCGCAGATGACGCCTCCACCTGTGACGGACAAAGATGGAGCCGTCCAAATGCGGCTGCGGGTGTTGTTGCCGCCATGTGGAGGAGAATGTGATGCTGCCACATCGGAGGCCGGGGGATCGGGTGCACCACGCAAGTGGCTGCGCAACCCCCACCCCAACCCCCTAGGTACCGTACACACGCACGTGTGCACACACACACACACACACACACACACACACACACACACACAAAAGAGGACTCAACCCTTGCCTTCAAACGCACCCACTCAACCAACGCACCCACTTTCAAACGCACCCACTTTCAAGCGCACCCACTCAACCAACGTCTGCACCCACTCAGCCGACCTTTGCGGCCAGCAGCGCCCTCTGGGCCTCCTCCACCGCGGTGTCGAAGCCGAAGCACTTGTCAATCAGCAGGATGTCATTGTCGATGGACTTGGGGATGCCGATGACGTTACACGCCACGTCAGACTCTGGGTGTTTGAGCGCAGGAGCAGCGGGATGGAGGCCAGTCAGTGCATCCGCAGAGTTGGTGCATAGAGCGGTGGTTGCGGCGGCACACAGAGCCGGGCAAAGTGCTTAGCACAGCCTATAAAAAAAGGGCCGATTTTACACTGCGTTAGGATACACACAGCCTGGCATGCAGAATCTGAGGCGAAGAAAGTGCTTCAGGGCAGGTGAGGAGAGGGGTTCGGGCCGCACCTGCACACTTCTGCTGGATTGCGCTGGCGCCGGCGTTGCCGCCGTTGCCCCCGACCACAAACAGCATGTCCACCCCCCACATGTCAATGCGCTTGACAATCTCCCTGGAAGCGCGGCGAGCGACGGGGATACGTTTCACGATATATGATGGATGCTGCTGGCTTATGCATGATGTGTTTGGGGGGCACGCGCGCGCGCGCGCGCGCGTGTGTGTGTGTGTGTGTGTGTGTGTGTGTGTGTGTGTGCGCGTGTGCGCTGTGCGCAAGCATGCGGCGCATTACGCATGCGTGCACCCTGTAGTGAGTGCTTGCGTTGCCGCCCCGGCTGCAGGTGCACAGCTGACCGGCAGCCCGCCACGCCCCTTCCCACGCCCATGGCCACGTGCAACCCCCTCGAGGCGCCCGCCCACTTGATGTTGGCGCCGCCGCGCGACGTGCCAAGGATGGTTCCGCCCTGCAGCTGGATGCCGTCCACGCTCTTTTTAGTCAGCACGATCGGCTTGTGGGTCTTGTCGTAAAAGCCCCTTGGGAGTGCCGAGGAAAAAAGGCGCAGGCAAGAGCAGGCACGTTCGGCGTTGCGCTTGCGGGAGCAGAGCGCAGAAAGCAGGCTGGCGGTAGCGTACGAGGCCACAGCAGCCGCAGGGCGCAACCTGACTGCCCGCAACTCATTGCACACATAGCTGCCGTCTCCATGCCGCCGCGTGGACCGGTCCAATCTGATCCAATGACTGAATTTGCCAGTCGCGCGACGCGGCCTCTGAGGGTTTGAAACCCCAAATGCGCGACGCATTCGCCCCCGCGCAGGCGCCCACCTGAAGCCGTAGCGAATGCCCAGTATGTTGCCCTCAGGCACGCCATAGTCTGTCAGCTTATTGACCAGGCCCTGGGGGTGAAGATCCGGGGGTCAGGGCGGTGGGAGAAAGGGGGTGGGGGCAGCGGAAGCGGTGCAGGTAAAGAGGCTCAGACAGGGCGCGGGCGCCTGCGGAGCGGGCGCCATCTCTGGGCATTGACTGTGACGCTTGTGCACACGTGTTTGCTGCGGCTGGGGGTTCCGGCATGCACGCTCCACTCGCATGCACACAAACTCGCATGCGCACGTGCGCACGTGCGCAGGCGTGTGCGTGCGTGCGTGCGCAGCCCTCAGGGCACCCACCGCGACGACGTCATTGAGGCCCGGGCAGAGGCCGCCGCACGTGACGATGGCGGCGGTGGTGTGCTTGGGGTCGTGGTAGATCGTGTCCCGCGCGCCTGTGGTCGGGCGAGAGGGGCTGGCAGAGGCTGGGCCGCCGGCGGACTTTGTGAAAGCGGGCTTGTTGGCACGCTTGGAGAGCCTGGGCCGGATGGCAACACGGTACGGAGGAGGGGGCCTCCCAACACACACGCTTGTCCCCCTGCCATGAGCAGGGCCATTGGCAGCGGCTGCAAGAGGCTCCCTCCACGCAGCGGGGAGAGGGGAGGGCACACGCGCTTCTGTCCCCCTGCCACGAGCGGCCAGCGGCGGCTTGCTGCTAGAGGCTCCCTCCGCAGCGGGGAGGGTGGGGGGCGGGAAGATGCGTTGCACACCAGCGCGGATGGACCAGGGCGGAAGCGGCGTCGACAGCTGCTCAAGCGAAGCCTCCATCCAGTTCACAGCGCCGCGGCTGCCGGCCGCCGCCGTCTCGGTCTCCGCCGCGAGCTGCATCTGCGCGGCGGCGCCTGTTGATGGGACGGGGCAGGTGAAATTGTCGGGCCCCAGCGCTGATGGTGACTTCAGCAAACTGGCGGAATTAAGCCTTCGGCACGCACATTTCGGCACAGATTGCCCAGAACGCTGCCGGGCTTGTAGCCACCACAGACGGCAACCAAGCCATTGTGATGCCAAGCAGCCGGCAGCCCCGCGTGGCAGCACCAAGGCCCCCCACCGGCCCTCGCGCCGAGCGCTGACCGCCAAGTCCCTCACCGGCGGACATGCCAGATGCAAACCTCATCGATGTCAACGCCACACGGTCTGCATCGCTGACTGCATTTGGGGGGGGGGCGCAAGGGGAGCACAAGGCAGCACTGGCGTAGGTGGAGGGAATTGCTGATGCTGTCGCACAGACATAGCACAAGGCACCAGAGGTTTCAGGGACGCCAGGGGTGCGTGGGCGCAGGGGACGCACCGAAGCCGCCACCAAAGTTGTTGTGGGGCACGAAGGGGCTCGGTCTGCGGGCGCGAGTGCGGTTGGGGCCGGCTGGGTGCAGCCGCTGCCTGTCGCCAGGCTTGCTGGCAGACAAGCAGCGCTGCATGCGACTGATTGCGCTGTCTGGTAGCGTGTCGCATGGTGCCTGCTCCGGACCATGCAGCACGGGGGCCCGCAGAGTGCCGCCTGCATGAGCGGCGCGCGCACGCATCACACAACACATGGCCTCGTCGCACCTGGCGGCGAGGACGTGGCGCAGGTCGGGGCACTCCAGCACGTCGTCAGCACCAGGCATCACTGCAGAGGTGTGGACCCACGGTTTAGCAACTGGCTGCATAACAACAATGGCGTGGAGGCGGGGAGCGCCGCATCGCATGCTCCGGCCGCACCTGTCGTGATGGGCGGCGGGGTCGCACCAGCATAGCGTGCGATCGCCGCGCGCCTCATGGGAGGTGCCCCTTGGATGGGACAGCGTCCTAGTCCCACTTGATGGGATGTAAGGCGTGTTGTCTGCATACTGCGCTCAGGGAGGGGTGTAGAGCGGGCTTTCCTTGGCTTGTTGTGGTGGATAAAAGGACGCTTTTATTGATATAGCTGTTTGTGCAAAGCAGAAAAATTGCTTGAGGCTCAACTGGCTGCGATCGAGGGCTTTTAGTCCAGATCACTCGGGCTCACGACAAAATAGGCACCTCGCGACAAAATACATGAGACTGTCAGAATCATTAAGGCGGCCATGATAACGTACCGACCAGTCGCGGCAACGCAAGCACTGGACCCGATCAACGCAGAGCCGGAACACACCAAACACGCCTAGCAACGCCGCACACACGGCGTATGGCGGTATAAACGCATACAAACTTCAACATACACACGCGCAACTGCGCTTTTGGGAAAGGGTTTGCAACATCGTTCTCGGCTGGTACTCACTAGGCCGTGTGTCGCCTTCCCCTCCCCCCCCCCACCCGGCCACCGTCAATGATGCGTCTAGTGCCCCATCCCTGACCCATCACAATCCGCTGTCCCTTCAGATCTCTACACCTGACGCCGCGAGGAGATTTGACTTCACCTCCATGTCGTCCCGAGGTCATGCATCTGCTTTTTTGTACGAGGTGCTTGACTGCTGCTGCTGCTGTGTGCACGCCGTATGCCTGGTGCTTGGCCGAAACTCCAGGTCATTGACCGTAGGGTTACAAATCGACCCTTGCAAAACAAAAATGATTTCAAGCGCTGCGTTAAGTTGAGTTCAGTTTCTGCGCGCGCACGCGATCGTGCTCTTTTAAGCCGCACCCAGCTCCGCCCACGACAGGCTCCCCACCTTGACCAGCTTTGTGAGGCGGGAGGGGGGGGGACGCCGATGGTACAGGGCTCACGCATGCATGCAGCCCAGTGTATGCTAGGTTCTAGTCCCGTTATGTCGGAGCAAAACCAGGCACCGATGCCCTGCTGTCAGCGCGCGGGCCGCGATGCGCTGCACAGAAGGCCGCGGTGCGTCGGCGGAACACACACCGGTGGTGCAGCCACTGTACAGAAGCCCTTCTGCAGCGCAGTGCCGATGCCGGGGCCAGGGCCAGTGTCAAACCGTGGCCCGGGCATACAGCTCGAGGGAGTGTGAAGGCGCCGCTTTGCCGCATCGCAGCAAATCGGGTGGAGGTTCCGCGCGGCGCCAAGGTGGGCCGGCCCACAGGGGCACCAAACAAGAAACGAAGCAGGGCTGGCGACAAACATAGAATGCGCGGCGCAGGCCGCGTGTGTACACCGTGCCACAGAGCGTAACGTTGCTGGACGCTGAATGCGATGGGGACGCAACAGCATCACACAAACAACCAAACAACACGTGCATCCGTTCGCATTTCAAGTGTGAACCCCAAAGTGCCAGTGATGGTGAAGGAGAAGGGCGCACGGCAGAACCGCAGTGGCGTTTGCAGCGAGTGCGCCGGCGCGAGATGCGCGCTGAGGCCCGGCCCGCGCGCGCCGTGCCCGCCCAAGAGTCCGGGCGAGGGCGCAGTCGCGCGCGGCGCCCTGGTCTCGGCTGTTGCTAAAATGTTTGTGCCTGTGGCAAAATTGTTTGCTGCCGGAGGGGTAGGAATGGGTGCGCAAGCCTTGCTGGCCGGTCACTTACAATGGAGCGCCACGAGCCGCGCCGTGTCCCTCTGCTGGTGGCGCGGCAGGCGGCCCCTGAGGGGCCGCGCGTGTCAAGAAAGGGCGCCGGTTGGGGCGGAGCCGCTGCGAGTGCGCCGGCGTCTGGCGATGCACCGACGCCTTGACGCCGGCTGGCGGCTTGCATAGTCCCTCGTGCGCGTGCTGCTGCTGCTGCTAATGGTGACACGCCGCCCAGGAGTTGCTGCTCGCTACTTCGCCAAGTGTGGCTGCTCCATGCCACTGCAGCAGCCGGCGCTGCTGCTGCTGCTGCTGCTGCTGCTGCTGCTGTTCATGCTGCTTCCGCTGCATACGCTGCATCTGCAGCGTCAGCTGCTGCATCAATGGCCATCACCTGCTGCTGCTGCTGCTGCTGCTGCTGCTGCTGCTGCTGCTGCTGCTGCTGCTGCCGCCGCCGCCTGAGCGACGCCCGCTAGAGCACCTGCCGCTGCAGCGGCATCGCCGCCGTGGCGGTCGTGTCCAGCGGTGCAAAGTGCGTGCAGCGCTCGAACAGCGCGTCCGTCCCAATCTTCGACGTGTCGACGAAGACGTCTGCCATCCGAGGGTGGCCCAGCAGCACACGGTACTCCCTGCGTGCGCGGGCAGCGCCACGCAGACGCGTGCGGCACGTCAGCAGCAGCGAGGGAGGGGCGCAAGCGGCGGCACATCGCAAGCTCGCTGGCATGCTGGTGTCCTTGCCGGGTTGAGGGAGCACAAGCAGGACGCGTGCAGGTAGCTGCAATGCAGCGAAAGCCACCCTATGTCCCGGCCGACCAGCCCTCCAGGGGCCAGGCCAAAGCTGAGCCCCTTCCGAGCCAGCCTCGCGGGCTGGTGAGCTGGATGTGTACAGTGTGCAGCCCACACCGCCTTCACACCTTGAAGGCCAGGCACCGCAGCCTTTGCCTCCCACTCCAGCTTCCCATCCCCTCCCGGCCTCCATCAACCTCACCCTACCATCCAACCCCCACCCAGACCCCATCATCTATCATTTCGCACAACCCTTTGCCTTGCGCCACAACCCTCCCAAAACACAGCCACTCCATCATCGTGTTGGCGTGTATCTCAAGCTTGCACCCGCTCGCCACAAAAGCCCACTGGCGCCTGTACAACCCCCACCTGAGGTAAACGCTGAAGGTGGACGACCCCAGCCCCACAAAGTTGTTGCTGTTGGACAGCACGAGAAAGTCCACCAGCGCCTCCTGCTCGGGGTTGAGCTCCTTGAGCATCTGGGGCGGCAGGTACAGCTCCTTGTACTGCACGGGGAAAGAGGGGAGTCGGGTCGACAGTCACATGGCGCACAGGCGGGGAGTAACAATTAAATAAGGCCGTGCACACCACCAGAGAGCCAGGGGCTGCGGGCCGTTGCATCGGGTTGAGGAGGCCCCCAAGATCACATAAATGAGCAAGCAACAGCAAGAAGAAGATCATTGCAGAGCTTGTCACGACGAAAGAAGCAAAGGGAGAAGCCTCAGCAAATCTCCTCGGAACAAGTTTGCTGCGGACTCTGCAGGGTATCTGCAGAATGCAAGAGGACGCACCCCCGTCACGGGCGCCGCCCCGCCGCGCGCCAGCCCCCGCACCTGCACCGTCTTGCTGTGCGGCCGCAGGAACTTGAGCATGTTCTGCATCTCCTCGCTCGCGTCGTACGACAGCAGGCCGCTGGCTATGTACAGGTCTTTGGCCGTGGTGAACCCCGCCGCCGCAAACGACTTTGCGTACTCCGCGAGATATTTCCGCAGCCCCCCAAGTATCCGCGCCCAGTCCACCGCGTCCTTCTCCAGCCGCAGGTGGGCGCCGTTGTAGTGCGAGATGCCCGCGGTGCGCATGCCGTTGATGACCGTGCGCGCCATCTGGACGATCGTGCGGTTGAACTTGAGGGCGGTGGCGGCCTCCTGGGCGCTCTCCATGCAGGTGAGGGTCCTAAGTGGGATTGCAAGGTGGGGGGAGTGGTTGGGTCAGTCATGGTTGGCAGGCGGGAGAGGGGGCGTGGTCCGCAGCGGTGCCTGGAAGCCGACGCTGGCCAGCAGCGCCGCTCCAAACGCCTTGTTGCCCCACTGCTCTTGCACTCCGCCTCCCCAGCCACTCCGTCCTGCTCCCGCCGCCGCCCGCCGCCCGCCCCTCCGCCTGCCGCCAAGGCAGCCGTGCGCGAGGCGGCTCCCCTGGCTCGACCCCGCAACATGGCGAGGGGGCACCTCGACCTCACATGATGGAGAGGAAGGGGCAGGGCAGGTCCAGGACGACAGTGGTGTTGTGGGGCCACCCCGCGTCCACCAGCTCCTGGTGCTTGGCCATGATCCTGTCCGCCGCGCGGTCCCAGAGGTACCAGATGTGCATGCTCTGCAGGTAGGTGTCTGGCAGCTGTACCACCTGCAGGGAGGTCCAGACGTTTGTGTTTGCACGCAGGATGCTCGGGTGTGGATATCCATCAATTGCCACTTTCACTCATTATGATGCTAATGATGATCATGAGGCAGGTCAGCGCACCCCACAACGCGCTGCAACACAGTCGATGCCAGCGCCTGCTGCATTAGCACGCAACGTCCTGCACGCTTCCAGTGCGCCAACAATCGGGCTGCAGGCGTGCGTGGGTCGCCGCGCGCCTGCTCTGGTCGGATCCCCGGCATCTTGTAGCGCGGGAATGCGTCCTGAGGGTGCATGCAATCTGGGAAAGACTCATACGGCGGCGTCCGATGGATCTTGATGCCTGCGCTCAGCTCAAGGGGATGGGTGGCGGTGGAAGTGGAGCGAGCAGTTGTCAGGAAGAGGGCCGACTGCCTATAGGGACTGCCGCCTCGCCTGTGGTAGAGAGCCGCGGCCGCTGCTCCGTGTCGGCGTCAAGGCGGCCACTGGTGGGGCGGTGGCACCGCCGCTGCCGCCGCGAGATGCTGTGCTTTGCTGCTGTGCGTGGTGGCTGCGCATGTGGCGCACGTCAGGTTTCGTGCACTACCAGCCGCCCGCGTAGCGCACTCCCTGCTCTTCGGCGCTGCTCGCCCGCTGGCTTCGCGGATGCGACACACGGTGCCGCACAGTGCGGCCCCTGCAAGTCTTCTCCATGGCTGGCGTTGCAGCTGCTGCATCGTTTTGACTTCTGCGTTCATGCTGCGTCATGCTGCTTCATGCTGCATGGTGCTGTCCTGCTGTGGTGATTCCAGCTGCGGCTCCTCCATCCTCCCGAGTGCCATGCAACTGCTGCCATGCACGCGCTGCCGCAGCATCCGCTGCACCCAACTGCCGTTCTCCAAAGCACAACTAGTGCGCCTCCGCCTCCCCTCCAGCACCTCTCGCCACAGCTAGGGGCCGTGAGACAGAACGGCGTCGTAGCCGCGCGGCCACAGCTACGCGGCCACAGCCACGCCACCTGCTGCCATTACGAATCGGCACGTCCCGCTGCGCCCCCCCCCCAAACCCACCGCAAGAAAAGACCCCATGGCGCCACACCGCGCTCACCTTTCTGGGCGTAGAACCGCTGCAGCGCGTCGACATCCAGCAGAGCGTCGGTGTCTGTCGGGGTCCACTTCACCTCGTTCTTCTCGATCTCAGTCATCGTGAAGTACTTGGAAAATGATTCCCTGTCATCATTAGTCATGGTTGCATTGAAGGCATGGAATTCGTGCCTGAGTGAAACTACTTGTGTTATCACATGTACAGAGTAACCTTTGAACAAGTCGCATAAGGCAAGCATGCTGCCGGTGGGCCGGCGGCACGCCGCGCGTGCAGTGGTGCTGCGAGTCACGCCGCTCCGCTGTCCGCCGTGCATGTGCCGCCCGGGTGTCCCCAACTGTTGCTCTAGACCGCGCGGCCGGCTGCGCCTGGTGTCCCTCAATGCACCAGTGTCCCTCTCTCCCAACCATCTCAGCCATCTGCTTGCGGTGCAGTCCCCCCGTCACCAGGCACGCGGTTGCCCGCACGCATCTGCTGCCGCCAGGCGGGCCTCTGTGCACCACGCCAACCACCCGCGTACCCGCGCGTGGCGCGCACCTGTACACGCTCGGCGGCAGCACCACGTCGGCGCCCAGGTAGTCCGCCAGCACCAGCGCGTTCAGGTGCGCGTACATCTGATTGAAAAGGCCCTGGCAGGCCGTGTAGCGCAGCAGGACGGGCACCCGCTGGTAGCTGCGCTGCTCGCTGTAGCCATTGTCGACGTAGTGGAACACCGCCGCGTCCCGGGTGCGTATGTTGCTGTTGCGGAGGTCCGAGTAGCGGAGCAGGTAGGCGCGCCAGTCAAAGTCCTCGGGGACAGCGATCCGCCCGGCGCGGGCGGCGACGCCGCTGAGGCCCCCGGCGGAAGCGGCCGCGCCTTTGCCGGCGCGGGCGGCCGGCCGGCCGGGGCCCGACGCGACGGGTGCTGATCCCAGGGTGGGCAGTGCGGAGAACGGGTGGCCGCCCGGCGTCCGCGCCTGCTGCTGCTGCTGCTGCTGTTGCTGCTGCTGCGGCGGCGGCGGCTCGACCGAAACCCCACCTGGAGGCTTTCCCAACTGTATGTGCTGCTGCTGCTGTTGCTGCTGCTGCCGTCCCTGCCAGCCGCCAAAGATGTTCCACTTGGACATCAGGCCTGGCAAGCGGGGCGCACGCACGGCGGCAAAAGCGCAGGTTTGTTGCTGGGTGGGGCGATCGTGCATACAGGGTCGCCCAGCGGACTGGTGTGTCCGCAGGGGCGCAGTGCCCAGCCCCACGGGCCATTTCGAGTTGTGAAACACAATCCATTTATTCATTCGCGACCAGCCGCGCGCAGAGAGCCCCAGCAGGGCAGTTGGCGCTGCTGGGAGGACTCACTGCTCGAACCGCTGGCATCGTACAGGCCTCTTCTGCCAGCACCAGAGCCTCTTTGAGATGCCAGGACCGATACTCTTGCAGAGGATCGGTCGGGAACAGAGCCATAGTTGAGGAAGGCCATCATGAGCAGCGCCCCCGCTGCGAAAATGACCAGGTGGACGCTGAGCGACCGCCATTTTGAGCTGACTCGCATATCTAGCTGATATGACGCCATCATGGAGGGCGACCGCTTCAGGCTGGGCGACCTCCTCAACTTGGAGCCTGGCGGCAATTTACCTCCCGGTGATAGCTTCATTGTGTATATATGTGCATTAGTGAACCTGTTTTGATTGTGTCTAGAGGCCCAGGAGGCCGTGGTGGTCAAGTAGTCCGGTTGCAGGCTTGCAGGCGGGTGAGAAGGAGTCGGGGGTGGGACCCACCCCGCTATGTCCGATATGACGGATGGAATGCGGGTGACTCGGAGGCACAAGCGCGATGACATTTTTTCCTTTCGAAGGACAATGGTTGCTCGCGCAGCGCCACCCATGTCAGGCCGCGCAGCTGCTGCAGCTTGTGCATGATGCGCGCCAGCCGATGTCTGCAGGCGGGACGCGCCTGGCAGCGCGAGCCGCGCCGCGAGGCAGTCAAGTTGTTCCGTTGTAAGTTCAAAAAAATGGCGCTTATGAGTTTGTGGACGCAGAGTAACCCGGCCTGTTTGGGACAGAACCGTGACAAATCCTGTGTCCCTTACCTGTATACATTCTGGGGACAGAGGGGCTGGGTTGGGGCGGGGTGAAGAACATGTAGGTTACATGTAAGGAAAGAACCATATCAAGCGCTCAATGCCGCACGCCGCGCTCATTCGGTGACGGTGTACCGCGCGAAGAGGTTCTCGGGGCGACTCATCGCCTTGAACTCCAGGGCATTGCCGGAGGGGTCTGTGAAGAACATGGTCAGCTGCTCCCCAGGCTGGCCCTGATATGCACGCAATGAACATGGGATGCCGGCATGCATAGTAAGAGTGGTGTCATTGAAAATGGATGCACGCGAAAATCCATGAGTCGCAGCCAGAGGCAGGGAGCTCAGGCCGCAGAATAATGGTGGGAGATGTGTATGCGTTTGGGACGGGAGTGGTGTTCATTCACCAGACATATTTCAGGTGGCATGTCTTCTGTGGTGCAGTATGTCTTCTGTGGTGCAGTATGAGCCTCCTGTGCAACCAGTGGACACAGCAGGCCAAGGCAGGCTCCTCCCGGATCGCACCACAAATCTCAGGTGCGGCTCGATGACAAATTTGACTCCATTTTGCCGTAAACGCTCTGCCAGCTGGGCACGATTAGTGGTTGAGGTAGCATGGATGGTGCCAAAAAAGGCAATGGAGGTTGCAAGGCGTCAATCCCCATGGGATGGCACAAGGGTGTGCAGTCTCCATCGATTTGGACGAGCGGTGGCGGGCACTGTTGTGCAGGGTTCCTGTGGGCACGTGCAGTTTCTGGTTAGCGCTCTGTTTGCGCGTTCGCATAATTGCGAATGCATTCCTCACCTCTTCAAACTGCTCTTTGCTCAGCACTGCCCCGCCTGTTTGAGGGTGGGCGTGACACGCAAGACATATGGGTACGCGCATGGGTGCATGAGGTGGCTGACCTGGGAGCTACTCTGCTCTGTGACCACCAAACCTGGCTGCCATTTGAAGTTGCAGGCGCTGCTGCTGCAGGGGCTTTTCCACCGTTCCTATGCTTGCCGATGCAGAGCATCTCTGGCCACCCACAATGCGGCACCGGCACCGCGTCGCCGTCCACCGCGTTGTGATGGGCAGTGGCGTTGTAGCCGGGCACGAGGTGCGTCACCACCTTGCACACGGAGCGGAGCGTGGTGGATTGGGCCGATCGGACCAGTGAGATGCTGCAGAAACGAGCAGGGCTGGGGCAGAGCAGGGCAGAGCGGGTCCACGGCCAGGGCGGAGCAGGCACCAGGTTGGACTGGATGAGGCCGCTTGGCGGCTCCAAGGGTGGCAACCCCGAGACGCAGCACACGTGCTTTTGTAGATGCAGCCGCGAGCGGGCGACGACACGACCACTGCAGCATCTTGCGCTGCGCCAGCTTTGATCCTGCAACCCTGCTGTTATGCCGCCGGCAGCCCCACCTGGTGTCCGTAGAAGTTCCAGTCCACCCAGGTAGCTGCGGAGCGGCCCTCCGCGCATCCCTGCAACATCGACATGGCGCCGGAGCGTGGGAGTAAGCGGTCAGGCAACGGCGGAGGCAACCAGTGCCGCTTTGGCGCGAGGGCAGCAGCGTTGATCCCTTGCACTACTGTTGTAACGGCATGCCATTTCAGGCCCTGATACTCATGATATGGTGCCACGAGATGGTGCCACCGGCTGCCTCGGTTTGCACCCTGCCGTGCCTGCGCAAGGAGCGACGCACCATGACTTCGCCATAGAAGCGCCGCGCCTCTAGAATGTCGTGCGTCGGCAGTGCCAGGTGGAATGGCGTCGCAGCCTGCGCTGCCATCACGCTCCACCTGCGTGGCTGCGCCCGGTCGCTTGCTGAATTTGGGGCAACACGCGCGGCGTGCGTCTGCGCCTTGGTAAGCTCCTGCTGTGCCCGCTGCGTGTGCTGTAAAGGCACCTCGCAGTGCCAGCTAGTGGATGCTGAAAATCTTGAAAAAATTACGTCAATGACAACGACTCTACAGCAATCTGACGAGCTCGTGCACGGACCGAGCAGATCACTCGTTGCTCAGTTGCGTGCTGGAAGCAGAACAAGTGTGGCGGAGATGTGAGTTGAGAGGTTTGTGGATGGTTCCTCACTGCAGACATTGCCACCAAAAACTGCACCCATGGTGGTCGGCAGGTGTGTTGGCAGTCCACACATGCGTCTGATGCAGCGCCCTGCCTACTTGTCCTGTCATCTACATGTCATCTACACAGCAAACACACAGTGTTCTGGAAAAGCGCCAGGAGTCTATGCCCGCGGCATGGTCCGCCGGCATGAGTCAAAGCCGTCACGAGAAGGAGTTGTGTGGTTCGGTCACAACACTGCACTGTCCGCTTGACTTTGCGCCCAGCGACACTTGAAGGTGACTTGTGTGCACTGCCGTACACGGATGAGTCACCTGATGTCATCTCATGGTTACCATTTGAAGTGCATGTTAGGGGCCAAGCTCAATACTCAAACGCATGTGAGTGATTGTCAGGCATGCTTCGCATCACAGCCAAATTCCTGAACCACCCATATCTCCATAATCGAATTTCATGGGAAATGCTGCTCATGCACACGTGATACATACGCTGGAGTGTCGCATGCCAGCCAAGGTTTTGAGCCAAAGAGTGTCATAGATGCACATAGGGCTTCACAAGATTCAATCCCTCATCCCGCCCACAGCCCAGCAGCCGTGCGCGCGCAACACAACCTTCGCAGGCACGCACCGACAGCGACCCAGATGCGCGGGCGCCCCGCGCCACCGCTCACGCCCACCACAGCAGGCGCCTCGGCTTCGGCGCGGGGAGCGCCTTGGACACCTTAGCGGATGCAGCACCTGACACCGTGCTGAGAAGCTGCTGGATGCTGGTGTCCAGGGTGGCGCGCACCCTGGCTGCGTACGCCTGGACAGTGCCGAGGGCCGCAGTCTTCTCCTGGGCGCTCACGCCTGCGACGCACGGCGGCCGAGGGCGGTGCCGGGAGGTTGCAGGCGGGGCGATGCGTTCGAATGTGCGTGCGCAGCGGGGCCACGATTTCGGGTGCGCCGGCGACCCTAGCTTCGCGTACTTCCCATTGCGCTCGCAGTGTCTGCGTCCGTGGCGGCAGCGCCACGACCGGCGCCCACCCGTAAGTGAGCCGTCCGAAAAGCCGGGCTTGTTCACATGCAGCAGCCGAGCCGGCGCGGTTGCGGACAGCGGCGTGTGCACGCGCGCGCACACACCTGGTATGGCGGCAACCCCCTGCTGAAGCTTCTTGGTAGCTGTGTCGATCTTTGCCAGGTAGGCGTCCTTGCTGATCGGCACCGGCTTGCCAGCAGCGGCAGTGATGTTGGCGGCCAGGGACTGCGAGCAGATGGAGGCATCGCGCATGGGTGCGGCTGTACAGTAAGTCTCATGATTCCGGGTTGAGGGCTTTAATTGATTCATCTGGGGGTTTTCAGGTACGAGAAAGTTTCAGGCGGACAAGGAGGCAGGGGAGGACGACGCATTCCTGCGTACGCGGCAAGTGCAGCCCGCGCTCCCCATTGGGGGGGCGCGCAGGCGCTGCGAGCGGATGGGCGCGCGTGTGCGGCTGCTCACCTGAACGACCGCCCCAGCGCTCTTCTGCCAGTCCGCCAGCAGCTGAGTCAGTTGCGCCTCGGCCGCGGGCGCCTTGAAGACCTTCCCGGTGAAGTTGCCGGGGGGCGGGAACGCCGCCAGCTTGGCGATGGCGGAGGAGAGCAGGTCGCTGCCTGGCTTGTTCAGGCGCGCCAGGGCGGCCTTGGCGTCAGTGGCGAGGCTTGGCAGGCCGCCGAGCTGAGCGGCGGCGGGGCCAACGGCCGCCGAGGCCTTTCAGAGGGGGGAGGCGCGCACGAATCGCCACCGCAGGAAAGTGGGTAAAGCGGGGCAGTGAGTGAGGCGCCGGAGACGGCCGCGAGCTGCGCCAAAACAGTGGGCAGCTCGACTTCTCTAGCAAGCAGTTGCTTGTGCTGCAAGTCTCAAAAAAATTACAGCAAAAATTGCAGACTGGTTCTTGTCACCTGGCCGACCAATGATGCGATGGAAGGGGCAGGTTCGGCGGCGGCCGAGCCGGACACCAGCGCCAGCGCCAGCACCGTAAACACCATCATGCTGCTGCTGACAGCCATCTGTACAGGAGCGCACATGGTGCAGGTGAGAGCGTGTGCTGGGGCTCAAGCAGGGGCCACTAGCTGAATGGCGGCGGCGCAGTGAAATGGCCCCATGTGAACTTCAAGGTCAAGCGTGGCTCGCGCAGTGCCTCGCAATACTTTTTGTCGCGCTGCATGTAATTGTCTCCTCACCGCTGTGAACTGGAGCGGAGTCACGCTTGAGGGTGTGGCCGCACTCCGGACGATACGTCGATTCGGGACTCGTGGGCTTGAGAAAGCGCTCACGACTACTTTCAAGCTGCTTGGTGGCTGCAGAGATCCTTGCGGGGCTGGTCCCAGTCGCGGCCGTCGTGAATCAACGGGTGTGCCCAGGCTCCCCGGTGACACCCGAGTGCCTGACTTCTGCGCGCCAGCTGAGGCAGGGACGTACTCTGATACATTTGCTTGATGCACGACCAACTTAGCTATCCATGTAATTTGGGGACTGCAAGTCAAATAGAAGCTGGCGAGCTCGTTGACCAGGGCAAAAGGGCAAAGCCAAATTCACCAACAGACCACCACTGCAACTGCCACCACCCCACCCCTCCCCGCGTCCCCTCGCCCCCCTGCTGCTGCAGCCCTGCCATGAACACCAATCTACTCGTCCCTTCCTGCATTGATGCAGAACCCTACAAGATTTCAGGCCAGCTCGTATGGGTACAGGTGTGTGGGTTGTTGCACGCGGGCTGCCAAACGTCCAACGGGGCCATCAGTCAAAGCACAGGGGGTCAACAATAAACTGCAGACCGTCATTGGTTCTTGGGAGGGGGTTCAACACATGATCGTGTGCATAGGGGTCAGCCGAACAGGGCAGTGGCGGCAGGCGCCTGGCTGCGTGGGGGTGCACACGCAGGCGCCTGATTGAGGTATGGGGTCGACAAAATGCTAAGAGTGCCCGGGCGCCACGAGTGCTGCGCCCAGGGCCACGATAAGGATATGCAAGAATAAAAAAATGCCGAGGGACCGCCAGGCGGCTGCGGCGGTGGCCGTCCCCCGCCGCCGCCTGCGCCGATGCTCGTGGGCGCACCCGGGCCTATGT